TCTTTTGGATGACCAGTTAAAAACTTAAAGTAATTTATACCAGAATCGTACTGGATATGATTTCATTTTTCACAGATGTTTCAAAAAATACCTTGGGTTCTAGAGTATCTCAGCCACTGTGTGCATCAGTTGACACTGCCTTAGTAAAGTGTGGAAATGCTGATTAAAGGGACTTTAGTTGGTTAGATCACTGTTTCCCATAGTTTCTACTCTACTCCTGATTTGGGGAATACCTATCTTCAAACATCTGAAGTGTGATAATTGACAGGAATGGTTGAGTTAAAACTTTGGCATCAAGCTTTCCAGATGTAAACTGAAAAGACTTTTTGTACTTGGAAGCAAGGAGAGATGGAAGAACATGGAAAATCACTCCATATTGAGAGGTAGCACTTTTAATAACCAGGGGAACTGATTTAAGAGACTTATTGTGGGCAACACAAAATAAGTAGTTTCCTGCACTATCCTGCCAAGCCTTAAGGTGGGCCCAGTCACCTGGGCTGTCCAGCTGGTCTCAACACCACCAACTCATAACTGTGTCCTTGGAGTCACTTCTGGGAGCAGAGAAGACAAGCAGATGCACTTTGCAAGGACCAGGGAGGAAGGAAGATGCCTCCTGTTACCTGGGTCTAGCTCTCAGGTCAATGGGCAGCCATGTCCATTGCCTCCCCCACCTGCCTTCCCTATAACCCATCCTTCCAGTCTTATCCACACCCCCTCTTCCACGGTGTGTCCTGAGTGACCATCAAGGGTTTTACCAGCTTGAAGGTGGCTCACTGGCAGCTGTACGGCTGCATTGAGGCAGATGCCACAGCAGGAGTACAGACACAAGCAAGAGAAACAGTATAACACCATGATCCCACATATCGGTGACAACTTTTTCCATCAAGAGCCACATGATCCAAAGCACTGATTTAAATCCCATAGGCTGGGGGTCAGATCACTCAGGACATTTGCTTATGTCTTTATGTGATTTAATAAAGATGACACATAGGCGGGCTCATCAGGTATGCACACAGAGCACTCTGTTCAGATAATGGCATAGGTGCCTCCTGGCAAGGCAGTAATAATGTTCAAGGCCATTCTATTTTGTAGGACAGCTTTTCTCATTAGAGATGTTTAGTGTTCAGTAAAGACTGGCTTTGTTGGCTATTATTTAAGGCTTGCTGGGTGAATTCAGGAAGGACGTCTGTGTGTACTATAGTATCCTCCAGGTCAGTGGAGGATAAAGAGGATGGTCGAGTGATTCTACCAGTGGAAACCAGAATATGCCCGCTTGACCTTAAGGAGAAGGCGGTTGGCAGCTTTAGGAGCCTGACCTGGCTGTGCATGTTGGCAGGGGGAGACAGTTCTGTGAGGTCTGAGAAGACAGACGGCAGGAGATGTGATAGGACAGACCAGATCATGGGGTGTATTCTACTGCAGGCATAATGTACTTCAGTGGGTCCAGCTTGCAGCAGAAACAGTGGATCTCAGTGAGGAATGAGTAGCTCTTCCTCACTCAGACATGCCAAGGGACAGACCCATCCTGGTGGAACATTGGTATAATTCCAGCCGACGATGCCTTTCCCAGGCATGATGGGGCTTAGTGTTCTGGGCAGTATAGGACATAGATCAGTGGGGAAAGTTGGAGCAATGTTTGTTGCCTGTGACGTCCCGTCCGTACCTTCATGGGTGCCTTCGGAGGGATCCTAAGTCTGGCCTATGGGGCAAAAGGTCCTATTAGTTGACCATTTAAATTATTAAAATCTGGGGGAGTACTTCAGCTCACCTGGCCAAAGTGGGCTTCTGTTCTAATATGCCATCTTCCACTTCTATTAGCCCTGCTGTTGGAGTTATAGGGGAGATGGACCCTCCATTCTGCGCCATGTTCTTTTGCATAGCACGACCTTTGAAAGGTGAACCCCATCACTGTCTGGTTGATATGCACATGGTACTCAGTTTCTGTAGCCCCCTAGTGGTGCAGCCTGGTTGCATGGCAAACAAGGGGAAGCTGGGGCTAGGCTAGGTGCAGTGTCTATACAAACCAGGGTGTATTTAGAACGTTTTTCAGAGTTTTGGTGGATGGCCAGTGGATGGACCCAGAATCTTTTGGCAATTGTCTTGGGCATTGTTTAGAACACACAGGACATGACAGTAACGTATTAACCACACCCTGTTTGAAGGGCACTCCAGCATCCTTGGCAATATGCCATCCCGTGCAGGTGCTGCAGCAGCCACTCCTGTGCCTCCAATCTGCTGTATCTACTGAGGGGTGAGTTGCTGGGGCTTATTCCCAGGCTAGGGCTTCAACATCTTAACTAACAGGAGAGGCAGTGCCTCATGCGCTAGATCATGGTAAACAGTGAGGACTGTTTCAGGCACTCACATGTGGATCTAAATGTCTTTCCACACATCCTGACCCCTCTGGGTCCACTCGTGATCACCTACCCCAGGTTTCCCATTACCCAAGGCAGAAGGTTAGTCTCCAGAACATCCCCACTCTCAGTCAATGCATTACCAGCCCGGCCTTGTGAGTGCTCCCCAGCCAGACTACTCTCAGGTCAGCCCATGGCTGTGTGCTCCTCCTGAGGGCACCCCCTGTGGAAGCAGGGTGAGCATTGCTCTGGCACAGGGCCTGGTGGGTTCTGCCCTCCAGCAGCGCGACCAGCATCCAAGAAGCACTTTTTTCTTGCATTGTTTCTGCTTCATTGTCTGGCCTCTAACTGGAACGGTGGGCCTGCTTCACTAGTATTTTTGCCATCTCAGGGGCTTCTTATTGCTTCAGGCCCCTGTCCACATGTGGCCTTTGCTTACCAGAGGGCAGCGAGGACTGAGGCACTGTGCCAGGTGGGGAGTAAAACTGAAGAGGCTTACATGGGCCTCGCCCCCACCCCTGCTACAGAGGTCCTTGGCCAATGTGGGGGTTTCTCACGAGGATGCTTCTTTCCCAAGCTTTGTCTTGGGTCACTTGACTGGCTTCGCAGTCATGAAGTTGCAGCCTCGGGAGCTGCCTAGGTACAGTCTGACCAGGCCCCATGCATGGAGACCCTGCAGGAAGCGGCAGACCACTTCATGTTGGTGGGTGCCGGACACCACATGGTAAGGGCCTCCTGCTGGCCTCCCCAGCTCTGATGTGCAGAGCATTCTGGGAGCTGTCTCCTCCAGTGAAGCATATGCCCGTTTCCTGTAAACCTGCTGAGATCACTGAACTGCTAATTAAGCCAAGTGGTCCCTGATAATCTTAGTCATCTCTCTGCCATGTGACATGGTACCTATTCATCTTGGGGCCTTGGTTTTTTCATTTGTAAAATGAAAGGTATGGATTTGTTAACCACTAGTGGCCTGTCCACGTCAAAAATCCTTGGATTCTTTTGTAATGTTTTTATTCACTTAATCACCACCCACTTTAAACAAACAAAAGTTCTGAATGGCAAAAAGAGCCAGTATGGGTCAAACTGGGTGCCTTTTGTGTCAGGAAGTAGGGGTCTTTGATGCATCTCAGGTTGCTTAAGACCGTGAATGTCTATTTTTAATCTATGGTCAATTCCGAGCAATTAAGATGGTATTTATGGGTCCTGGCACTGTGATGATTTTTGGTCCATGAAACCCCAAATATTCTGAGAACTCGGGAACTTCTCAGGTCTAGGGAAGGAGAAAGACTGCAGGCCCAGGCAACACCGCAGGTTCAGAATATTCCATACTTGGCAGATTAGACTTTTAAGTATATCTCCACAGTAAATGGTATAGTGTTGAAACCGAGACTTTAAATATGTACATTATCTTTCCTGTGCCAACGCCTAGAAGACCTACACTGCTTGAATTCCATCTGATCGTTGCTCATATGAATATCACAGGAAGCTTGGAGAATGTGAAGTTTTCTAGGGAATGCAAAATATGGATGTAAATGAAATAGAGTGAATATTTACTGAGCACTTACTTTGTGCAGGATGCTGTGCCAAGCACTTTTATGCGTTATGTCATTTAATCCTCACAGCAGCCTTGAAAAGTAGACACTGATGTCTCCTCCTGACAAGTGAGGGATCCATGTGCTAAGCGCTCACGCTACTTGGGCAGGGTCACACAGGAGTAGGTGACGGAGCGGGTCTTCAGTCCACATCTGTCTCTATCTAGAGCTTAACCTCTTGGTGACTACATCAGAAGCCAGCTCTCAGCACCCAGCCAGTACACTTTAGAAAGTAATTGAATTTATAGTATGAATTGCAGCAATTTACAAGTACTGATGGATCACTTTTGGTAGACTTGATGGAGCAAAGAACTCGTGAAAGCTTTCCTAAAGAAATTGCTTTGAGTTACATTTTGCGATGAAGACCACAAATTAGACTAGGGTGAAAGGTGAGGGGACAGACTATATCAGGCCACAGAGATATAAATGAACACATTGTTTTCAGGAAGCAACATACATACTCATTCATTGCAGGGCAAAAGGCAGAAGTAAAGCTGATGGCATGGGGATGAAAATCCAGGAGATTTTACTTTATTATGAAGGGCACTAGAGACACACTTAACGTTCTTAAGCAAGGGAAGGGACATAATTAAAATATTTCATTTGACAATTTGCCCTACAACTTGAGCAGGATAAATATGAGCTTTGAATGCATCAGGGAAGGTCAAGAGAATATTTATCATAATGCAACAAATTATATTCAGGAATACAATGAAGCTTTCTCCACAGTACAGTGGCAACATATGTAGGCCCCTAAATTAGGAGGTCAGGAAGCCGACTTTATACACTTTTCAGAGTACAGGTGACTGACACAGTTAAGCTAATAGCACATTCCTTTCAGGGCCCTCACCACTGATATTATGTGCAGTGTTCATGAATGGAACTCAAGGTTGAGCAAATACAAAGCTCTCCACAACAGATATTAAACTGAGTTGAATTGAAGTCTCAGATAGCAATTGCCGCTCCTGAGCGTGGGCTGATGTACTTGGTGAACGATACAGTTGGATCCCTTCCATTATAAATCCACTAATGCTAACTGAACTTTCTTTCGCTCCAGTTCCAGAGACCTAATGACTTCTCACCCCCTTTCCGCTTTGGGACTGTGCCCAATGGCAGCACAGAGAGGAATATTCGCAATAACTACGCAGAGATGCATGCCTACATGGGCAAGTTCAACCAGAGGGGTGTGGACGATGCTTTGCTCTCCCTGAAAACAGGGTAAGAACGACTTCTATACTCAAAGTCTTTGATATGCTGCTAATGTTTATTAAACATAGATTGTAGCAGATGTACCAGGCTTGGATGCCTTACAGAGTTCAATCAAAGGAGTTTTCATTGCTCTTTATGGATTTACAAGCTTGACAGTACCGTCCAGGCCAGTGCAGCAAGATTTCTGTGCTTAGTATTTATACACACACACACACTCAACTTACATTAATGTAACCATGAAAACAGAAATTAAATAGAAGTAAAAGTAGAAAGGAAGATCCTAGGCTAGGATTCATGAAACATATATGAAATGGTCAGACCTGTTGATTAGGGAGAAGGGAGACCTAACAGGGTGTGAAAGTTCCTAGATCATGAGCCATCAGAGTATGCTGACTAGTCTGCACTCTACCTATTGTTGCCTTTGACCCAGCTCTATACTCTAGAAAGTACCTGTCCCTTAAAAGGCACTCATGATCTGCCAATGTGTGAGTTTGTTGCAATGCCAGCCACACTGGGCCCTTGATTCATTTGGCCTGCAGAAGCTACAGCTGTGGAGACAAGCAATTGAGCATTATAAATGTGGAGATGGGGGAGTCAAGAGGTTTCCTGGGTTGTATAACTGGCAGACATTTCTGGAAGAGAGACACAGATGCAGAGGTACTTGCTGCTGGCACACTCACTCTCACCCACCTAGAGTCACAGCAGATTTCATAAGGTGGGGTTTCAGACCACTTTGGGTAGTTTGGCCTCCCACCTACCCACAATTCTCAATCCTATCAGAGCTTTGTGTTTTGGGGTGGACTACCTTTGAGGAGGAAGAAAGCTAACTTACCTTGTACTCATGAAGAGAGTCCTTTCCTTTCTTGCAGACTTCTCTGTTACTGTGGCTAGATCTGAATTTCTTCTTCACCCTTGATGTGCACAAATGTTGGTTAGTAATTGATGCCTTTTACCCTTACCCTAAGTCTAACTTCCCACCTTACATGTGCTTCCTTGAAAACCACACAATATAAAGTGAGGTTCTTAGACCGTAGGAATTTGAGGGATCTGAGTTCTCCTGTAGTTTTACATATTTGCTCTTCATATGAGTCTGTGCTGCCACCACACAGCTCTTCATGTCTTCTTGCAATGCACAGAATCCTTAAACCTTTCTGACCACAAAAATAGCATTGCACATCTATTCAAATGTATACACCTACACTTATCCCCACTCTGGACTGTAATGAACTGAGAAATGAAAACTGTTATATAAATCTAACCCATGGTATTTGTTGTTATCATTGTAATGGTTACTTTTCATTATTTCTGTTACTTTTATTGATTCCTTTTTTTACTCCTCCTTTTTAGACACAGCTTATGAGTTGGCTTCAGGCCCAACTCACATTTTCATCACTCTCAGTGGGAGGAAAAGAACCTGAAATCACATAAAGAACAAACAGCCTGGGATTGAGGCTGAGATTCAGGCTGAGTTCCAATCTGAGCCTCACTTTGAACCAATTCTCCCCATAGCTTTCTGGAACCCGACTGCTTCCTATTAATGGCCCCATAGGTAGTTTTGTACTAAAACCCCTCCACTGGATTTTGTTTGTTTGCCCCATTCTTGCACAGGAAACTGGATGCCTTCATCTACGATGCCGCAGTGCTGAACTACATGGCAGGCAGAGATGAAGGCTGCAAGCTGGTGACCATTGGCAGTGGGAAGGTCTTTGCTTCCACTGGTTATGGCATTGCCATCCAGAAGGATTCTGGGTGGAAACGGCAGGTGGACCTGGCTATCCTGCAGCTCTTCGGAGATGGTGAGTTACTGCTAGTGCCTGTTGGATCTCTGCTGGCGGCCAGTCCAAATCCTCAATGCTTCTTCCTCCTCCAGTCCTCTCACCCCTGCATTTCCGGGAAGCCATTACACAGTATCCTAGGAGACTTGGGGGTGTGGACCCTTTTCCTAAGGCAATTGCAACATTGTACAACAAGCAGAATCACTTAATAGAAATTTGTCTCAGTTTTGAAGGCCAGAAGTGCAGACTCAGACCTCAGCACTGGTTACTTGTGAGGGGGAAACTGATTAATATCTCTCCTAGCATATGGGAGGGGGCTGGCAGTCTTTAGCACTCCTGCCTTATCAACACATCACCCCATCCTTACCTTCCTGTCTATATGGATTTCCCCCTCTTTTGAAGACACCAGTTCTGCTGGGTTAGGGGCCCACCGCTCTCCAGCACAACCTCATCTTAACCAGTTACACCTGCAATGGCCAAATTCCCAAATAAATGCACAGTCCCAGGCAGTGTGGGTCAGGATTTGAACATAGGAATTTTGGGGGGAAAGATTAAAGTAGTCGGTCAAGGAGGTATGTTTAAGAATTGTGGGCAATGATCCAACTTGCAGGGGCATAGTCAGAGGAGCTATAGAGATGTTCCCAGCATTTAGCTCACTTGTGACCCAAGTGGATAGAACTTTGGAAAGGCCTCTGAAATCAGAGGCATGTGCCCAGAGGACTAAAGTTCAGCAGGAAGAGGTAGGAGGCTAGACCAGGGCCCTCAGAGGCAGACCCCATCAGGTGCTGCCCAGTGTTGTCAAATTGGCAGCCAACTGGCTTTGAGAAAATCTCATCTCCTATTTGACCACAGCACATCATCTGCACCCTGCTCCATTTTGTTGTCCCAAGGGTGCACTCCTCCTGTTAGCCTCATATGGATGAGCAGCCTGATTCTGCTTGGTCCCCCAGGCCATCAGTGTCTCTAACTCATGACTGCAGGAGCTCTGCTCTTAGTGATGCAACAGGAGGCAGCCGAGTGCAGCTGGAATTTCAGGTCTGGGTGACGTGGGGTTGTGCCACTCGTTAAGAAAATTGCAGTTTGATCAGAGAAGTGACTTGCTTAACATTGGGAAGAAGCGGGGGTTAGAGCTGGAGTGTTAACTAGCCATTTTGGTATATAAGAGCTTCTGTAATTTTAATGTAGCCTTGATTTAGAGGCAACAAGAGAGCTTCTATCTCTGAGGAAGAGCAGCAATTGAGATGATTTGCAAAGGTTGCCAAAGCTCTAGTCAGATGAGGCAAACAAAATTTAAATTTTTTAACCCAACTGGAGCCACTGGAACAGAAGGAGTCTTCATGAGATTTTCAGAACCTTGCTTGTCTAGAATTAAACACGTTCTAGACACAGTTTTTTCCATTTTCCATTTGCCTGGGCTTTCTACCTTTTTAAATCCTAGTACCCAGTCAAGTGGAAAAGGTTATTGTAACCTGGCATGAATTGAATTCATCAAAGCTTCCCTAAGAAGTGTTAAAAGGAGGCAGCTCTGAATTTGGTGGTCGCATTTCATTCAAGCTTTTCCAACCCTTTACTCTTAATATTGTCCTTTCCGACGAGAGATCACTAAATCTGCCCAAGGAATTAATCAGCCTCTGCTTACCTCTCTCCAGCCAATCTGTTTTATACATTGTTAAGAGCAATTTTCTGAATCACTTGTTTGATTACTTTGTAGATGGTGGGGAACAACATAAAGTGCAAAGAGCTCAGTCTGATACGCTGGCTCACGGCAGCCTGACACCCACCTTTTAAACTCAGCCTCCTTGGCCTACTGTCAGTCTGTTTGAGCTGTCCCACACCCCTTCTCCTGAACCAACCATTTTGTTTCCCACCTCCCACCCATGGTCACACATGCTCTTTCTGCCGCCCGAGTGCCTTTCTGTACAATATAAATGAAAACAACCCCATTCACCATGCCTGCCTCATGAAAAAAAAAAAAAAAAACCTCTGACCTCTCCCCATATACAAAATTACTCTCACTGATTGGAACTCTTGTTCATTATGCATATAAGTTGTCATCTGCTTCTAGACCGATTTATACAGGGTGGCTCATGGGAGCAGAGTAATACACCCCTACTCGTTGTGTCCTCTGTAGTAGCCACAGTAAGTTTCCATGACTGCTTGTGGGATACGTCGGCCAATTAATTTTTCTTATGTCTCTTTGTCTTTGTCTCATGTTTTCCTCTCTCTTCCTGGCACCCCCTGCTCTCCTTCCTGCCCTGGGCCCAGGGGAGATGGAGGAGCTGGAAGCGCTCTGGCTCACGGGCATCTGCCACAATGAGAAGAACGAGGTCATGAGCAGCCAGCTGGACATAGACAACATGGCTGGGGTCTTCTACATGCTGGGGGCGGCCATGGCACTCAGCCTCATCACCTTCATCTGCGAGCACCTTTTCTATTGGCAGTTCCGGCATTGCTTTATGGGGGTCTGTTCCGGCAAGCCTGGCATGGTCTTCTCCATCAGCAGAGTAAGTGCTTCGGTTGAGGTGCCTAGAATGTCAAAGCTTAGCCTGGCAGGGTGGTGGGGTTACCCAGGAGGGCTCTAACTCCGGCCTGGTGCTGCCAAGTCAGGAAATCATATCCTTTCCCCAGGGGCTGGCTGGTATAATTTCAAATGGCACATATGCATGCAGGCACGCGCGCGTGCACGCACACACACACACACACACGGGTGATATTATTTTTCCTTCAAGAAACAGCTTTCTGTGTGGGGTTTGGGCATTTGGTTCTCAGTAAGAACTGGCAGATCTATCAAAATGAAAACTTTGGCCTTTTACCAAATGTCTTTCATCACCATTAGCTAATTTGGTATAGGTTATATTAATCATTTAATCTTTTAAAAAGTCACATTTCTATTTAAATAGTGAAATGTATCTCTTACTCAAACATACAAAGGTAGGTTATTGGCAGTTTCCCTGCTCCATTGTTTTTAACCATGTGGAATTCTGAAGAGTTCAAGAGCTTAGAACCTTCAGAAATAAGTCCTGACCCATAAAAAATTTACATCCCAGAAACTTCCTTAATTGGAGCAAAGTATAACTCTGAAGTCATTCCTTATCTAGGTCTCTACATTTCTAGTTCAAACTGAGGATTCAAAACACAGTTTTAACAGAAAACTGCAAACAATTAAGAACCATGCTCTTGTCCATGAAGTGATGGAAAACTCAAACGTCCTTTAGAAGTCTAGATTGCAGATAGGGACAACTTTGGCTCAAATGGAGTTATATAAGAAAATGGATTTGGATTGCTCATTCAGGGCTTATCCCATCTTCTGATCATTTTCCTATAGTAATTAAGTGACAGAACACTCTCCTCTCTGACTGTGCGTGGACTCGGGCCCCTTGGTGAGCTGGCAGGAGAGCTGCGCTCCCAGAACCATGCCTGCCTCTTCCCAAAGTCCCATGTAAGGTGATGGCAGAAGGAGAATTCTCCCCAGAACCCGCGACATTGCCTCTACAGAGGCCGTATCCTGGCCCCAATCAAGAAAGTAGGCCTGAGAAAGGCCTTGGATCTGGTTGCCACCAACTGAGGCTCACCTCTTGGCAGCCTCCCCTCTCCCATCTTCTCTCAGCTCATCCCCATGCACTGGAACCCTTTTCCTTTCCCATGAACTCCCTTTGTTTTAAAGACAATTCAGACACCATCCTCTTCAATACCTGCCCTGGCCAGGGAGAAGAGTTCCAAGTTGTGCCCCCTTCCAAGGCAGGGAGCAAGGTATTAGCCAGAGGTTGACTTGGCTACAAAGGTGAAGGTCCTGGGCGGTGATTTTCCTCCAGGAGCATAGGCAGGGAGTTTTCAATCAATATTCATTTGTTGAGATATTAATTATTGATAAGATTGAGTGAGAAAGTACCAGAAGGAAACCAGTCGCTAATGAGAGAATTCCACAGGGGAATTGTTTATTCCTATTTAGTAACTTGATATTTGTTCTGAGTCTTCCCTCCCACGGCAGGAGAAAAATCTTTCTTTGACCTGAAAGCTCGCTCCCTCTGTGAATGTGGTTCACGCATGCCTCAGGAAGAGTCTGCTCAGCTGCTATTTGGTGATCAAAATCCTAAAAAGCTGCTCAAAATTTGTCAAAAGCCAGAAAAGAACGGCAACTGAGACCTTCTGAGCTCACTGTACTTTAACCAGGGTAGAATACCTAGAGGGCATGGCTGTCCCCAGGAGGATAAAAATACTTTTTTGGCTATCAGTTGCCATCATGGCTTCATTTTTAAGGTACAAAAACCTGGGCAGAGAATGAGAAATCAATGCAGGTCAGTGGAGGGTGAAGGCAAGAATGCACTCGCCACAGTCACTTGGTGCAACCTTGCCTCCCTGGGAGGGCCAGCCGCTGACCTACCTCCGCTCAGGCCAGGGGACTTACCAAGCTCAGGTCCTCAGGCGAGCGTGTAGCCCTGTCTGCCTAGGATTTTATTAGGCGCTCCATTTCCTGTTTCCAGTGCCCATTCTCACCTGGACAGGTAAGGGATGCTCACGCTTGACCTAACCCACCCCTCTCTCCTCTCGCTTCAGGGTATCTACAGCTGCATCCATGGGGTGGCGATTGAGGAGCGCCAGTCCGTGATGAACTCCCCTACAGCCACCATGAACAACACCCACTCCAACATCCTGCGCCTGCTCCGCACCGCCAAGAACATGGCCAACCTGTCCGGGGTGAATGGCTCCCCGCAGAGCGCCCTGGACTTCATCCGCCGCGAGTCCTCCGTCTACGACATCTCCGAGCACCGCCGCAGCTTCACGCACTCGGACTGCAAATCCTACAACCCGCCGTGCGAGGAGAACCTGTTCAGCGACTACATCAGCGAGGTGGAGAGGACTTTTGGCAACCTGCAGCTGAAGGACAGCAACGTGTACCAAGACCACTACCACCACCACCACCGGCCCCACAGCATCGGCAGCGCCAGCTCCATCGACGGGCTCTACGACTGTGACAACCCGCCCTTCACCACCCAGCCCAGGTCCATCGGCAAGAAGCCCCTGGACATTGGCCTCCCCTCCTCCAAGCACAGCCAGCTCAGCGACCTCTACGGCAAGTTCTCCTTCAAGAGCGACCGCTACAGTGGCCACGACGACCTGATCCGCTCCGACGTGTCCGACATCTCCACCCACACCGTCACCTACGGCAACATCGAGGGCAACGCGGCCAAGAGAAGGAAGCAGCAGTACAAGGACAGCCTCAAGAAGCGGCCGGCCTCGGCCAAGTCCCGGCGCGAGTTCGACGAGATCGAGCTGGCCTACCGCCGCCGGCCGCCGCGCTCCCCGGACCACAAGCGCTACTTCAGGGACAAGGAGGGGCTGCGGGACTTCTACCTGGACCAGTTCCGCCCCAAGGAGAACTCCCCGCACTGGGAGCACGTGGACCTGACCGACATCTACAAGGAGCGCAGCGATGACTTCAAGCGCGACTCGGTCAGCGGAGGGGGGCCCTGCGCCAACAGGTCCCACCTCAAGCATGGGGCAGGCGACAAGCACAGCGTGGTCAGTGGGGTGCCGGCCCCCTGGGAGAAGAACCTGACCAACGTGGACTGGGAGGACCGCTCGGGGGGCAACTTTTGCCGCAGCTGCCCCTCGAAGCTGCACACCTACTCCCCCGCGGTGGCCGGGCAGAACTCGGGCCGGCAGGCGTGCATCCGCTGCGAGGCGTGCAAGAAGGCGGGCAACCTGTATGACATCAGCGAGGACAACTCGCTGCAGGAGCTGGACCAGCCGGCCGCCCCGGTGGCCGTGACGTCCAACGCCTCCACCACCAAGTACCCCCAGAGCCCGACTAACTCCAAGGCCCAGAAGAAGAACCGGAACAAGCTGCGCCGGCAGCACTCCTATGACACCTTCGTGGACCTGCAGAAGGAAGAAGCCGCCTTGGCCCCGCGCAGCGTGAGCCTGAAGGACAAGGGCCGGTTCCTGGACGGGAGTCCCTATGCCCACATGTTCGAGATGCCAGCCGGCGAGAGCACCTTTGCCAACAACAAGTCCTCAGTGCCCACTGCCGGACACCACCACCATAACAACCCCGGCGGCGGTGGCTACATGCTCAGCAAGTCGCTCTACCCCGACCGGGTCACGCAAAACCCTTTCATCCCCACTTTTGGGGACGACCAGTGCTTGCTCCACGGCAGCAAATCCTACTTCTTCAGGCAGCCCACGGTGGCGGGGGCGCCGAAAGCCAGGCCGGACTTCCGTGCCCTTGTCACCAACAAGCCGGTGGTCTCGGCCCTTCACGGGGCGGTGCCAGGCCGTTTCCAGAAAGACATCTGTATAGGGAACCAGTCCAACCCCTGTGTGCCTAACAACAAAAACCCCAGGGCTTTCAATGGCTCCAGCAATGGGCATGTTTATGAGAAACTTTCTAGTATTGAGTCTGATGTCTGAGTGAGGAAGAGAGGCGAAGGTGGGTACGGGAGGGTCTGGCTGCGGGCGTGTGGTGCGCATGTCACGGAGGGTGACAAGGCTGAACTTGGTTCCCATTTGCTCCTTTCTTTTTTAATTTATTTCTGGGATCCTGGAGTTCTGATTCCTTCTGAGGGCAAACCCTAGTGACCTGCACCGGCTTTCCTCCCTTCCCCTTCTCTCCTCCTGCCCACCCCGTCTGTCACTCGTTCCTGTTCCCAGGAGAGGACGCAGGGGCTTGTCGCCTGGGAGGGCCCAGTGGCGAAAGGGCGGCACTGCATGCAGGCTCCCTCCTAGCAGGAAGGACTCTCTCGGCCACTGCAGAGTGACACAAGGAGAAGCAGGAGGCGGCCATGGGAGCACAGGACAGCTCTTCCCCAGCTGACCTTTAGGTTTAGGAGAGGACGCAGAAGCATCTAAAAAAGACCGTTCAGCATCCCGCTGATGAATGAGAAGGGCTCGTGCTCAATTCTTGCTGCTTCGATGACATGTTTAGAGGTCGAATGCCAAGTCCTGGGTGGGGGGGCCATGTGTGTTTCTATAGAAGCCAAAAATGTGTCTGATTCCATCCCCAAGACTGACGTGTGCTAAACTGGAATGAAAGGTCACCGGTGGGTGATGGCAAGTGCATCAGAGCAGTGTTGTGTGTGCAACACGGGCAAGAGGATAGACTGCCTAAGTGTCCATCCACATTTGCACACATGTGGGGGTCACAGGCCTTCTGGTGTGGAGAAGGCACCCTTGATCTCTGCTGCTGCTTCCAACACTCCTAAGCCACGTGCTTGTTTTGGCTCCTATACAAACAGATGGTCGTATGGGACCTGGGTTTTGGCTGCTTCTCCCTTGATCCTTCCTGATTGAGGAGAATGGAGGTTCTTGAGAGAGATACATCTGTGGTCTAGACCACGAGATGGTGGACAGTCCTGCAAGAACAGGGTACAGAAACCATTCTCCGCGGTTGCCAATATTTTCAACTGGTTTTGGCCAAGAGCTTCCCAGGAAGGGGAAAGGGTCTAGAAGCAGCCGTGAATCTGTTGCCCACTCTGAGGAGCAAAGGATTCTAGAAAGCTCTTTGGTGCTTTGGCCAGGAGCTAAGGCTTTTAAGAACAGGGGCATCATCTAGAGGTAGGGTAAGTGAGAGAGGGGGATGTTTTTCAATGCTTTGATCCCTTCTTACTTAGCCTGGAGCTGGGAAAGCAGGTTTGTTCCCCCAGAACTGAATACAGCTGCTAAGGAACAGTGGAGAGGACCGAGCTTGCTCTGTGAGTACAGCTCAGGAGGGGTGGATGAAGAAATTTGGAGTGGGGAGAGGAGGGGCTCCCCTGCTGTCCCACAGGGATCTGGCTCTCTGGGAATGTGACGTTGAGCCCTTTCCGTAGAAGCCAGTCCATTTTCCCACAGCTCCCCCTCCCTCCCAGATCCGACCACGCAAGAAACTATACATGCCCATGAAATCCCAGGGACGAGGGCACTGGCAGGCAGGGTGCCCCTTCGCTAAAAGTTGGAGACTTGAGAAGGGAATGTGTCTTTGTCACTGCCGGTCCTGAAACTTGGGGTAGCTGTGTTCTGGGGGTCAGGTCCATCGTCCTGCTGCTCTCCCCTTGCACAGGGTGGCGACCCAAGAGCCTGGGGGCAGTGTGCAAACTGGACTGCGGGCTCCCCACGCTGCACACGGGAGACAAAACCAGAAAGGTGCTCGTCCTCCTCCAGAAGGAAGCTGCCATGTCACGCTCGCCAGGGCTGGTCTCTGCCTTCTGCTCGCCCCACCTCACCACCCTTCCTTGGTCCCTGCCCTCCTCCTCAATTTTTTTTTTTTTTAACCTCAGTATCTTTCATTTTAAAGCCAACTGAAGGCCTTGTAAAGCTCCGTTTTCTTTCTAACATGAACATGGGGGCAAGGGGCTGAACCTCTCACAGATCTGGAGAGAGATGCACGGAGTGCTTTACCTTAGATGCCAGGAAGGACTTGGAGAGACAGGACAGAGGGCGTGAGGTGGTGTTTCCAGGAGGAAGGAGGAGAAGGGCCACAGAAACTTCGCTGCGCCCTGGCCCTGTCTCAGGTCAGGGGCTCCTTCCCGCAACTCTTCCTCTTACCTCACCCCTTTAAAATAAAAAACCAAACCAACTAACCTAGCGAACAGCAATCTAGAACAAACGGGGGCTCTGGCGGTCTCCACTGGTGATGGAAATCAAGACGGTGTTTATTTCATATGTAAATATTTTGTTTTCTAATTTTGTATAGATAAAGTGTTCTCTTGTGAGTATTCAGGGTGTTGGGCTGGAGGGGGTGGGGTGGGGACTGGGGACGGGAATGAGGGGGAAAGTGTTCTGTTAAGGGTTTTCATTTTCCATCGGGGACTTGTTTTGTACGGCATTTGCTTCAGGGCGTCTGGCAGAATGTGAATGTGAATGGAGGCCACTGTGGTGAAAGTGCCAGGGAAAAGTGCTTTGTGTCCACACTTCCCACCTCGCAGTCCTCTCGAGGGACTGAGGAAGTGTTTCTGGGCTTGGGGTGCGCATAGGGTTCAAGGTGGCTCTATGCAGACCCCACGCCCAGCTCCTGTCTTCTAGGTAGACCGCAGATTACCAGCATTCCTTGAAAAATCAAGCTGGTGGGACCCTAACTTCCCCATCAGCCCCCAGAGTAGGGCTCAACACAGAATGGAGATCCCATCAACCCCTCATTCTTGACGTGGCTGAGCTGTTTCAGAAAGCTCCATCCTGAGAAATCGCATGGCGGCACGCCCTGATGTGTGACAGCCATCTCCCTCTACTTCCCGACCCGCTCCTTCCCTTCCCCATCAGCACTACCGGCCACGCTGAAAATTCCCACCAGCTCCACTTTTTGATGCTCGCAATGTCTGGTAGCAGAGAGAGAGAACACTGGGTGCATGTCTTGCCAATTCTCACGCTTCTCTAGAAAAGACAACCAGATCGGCTCAAAACTCAGTGGCCAGGGGATGGTCTTAGAAAGCTGGCATGGGTTGGTTTCAGAGATCAAAGGACAGGGGTACAGGGGTGGTATGCAAGGGAACAGTGACTTCACATTTGTCTTGTCCTCATTTCTGCCATCAGGAAGGTGCTATTTACCTCGAGCCAGGTATTCATAACCTGCCCTTGGGTTAACCAGACAAATGGGGTTTCTCTCACAGGACGGCTGGCTTTGAGAAGGTGGCAGCCTCTCTTTACCACAGGATGAGATTGCCGAAGCCATTTACCTGATACCACGTGACACTGTCTTCTGACCGCCCATCATCAACAGCTGTCAGCTGGATAATGTCATTTCTCTAAATCTTTTATTTAGCCCCCAATTGGTCACTTCTCTTCAACTGGCTGTTTGAATTGGGACCAAATAAGATATTCATGGTCTGCTCAAGAAAGTTTAAGGAAAGGAAGGCTAAGCATTGTCAAGTTCTAGAAGGTACTTCATTCCAAAATAACCGACGCCTAAAACCTGAGAATGAATTTGGCGGTAAGTCCCCTCCGATACCACAGACGGGTCTGAACAGAGACCCTGTCTACCCAGAATGCCCTCAGGAGCACTTAGACGGTTCCAACGCCCTTCAGAATCCATGCTGTATGGTGTCTTTCCCTTCCACTGTGGAAGTGGGCTGGTGGGGGCGGCCCCTTAGCCCTCCCTTCAGTGGCAATGCTTCCATCTGGGCATTTCCACTGACCTTGGGCCATCTGCCCTTGCATTTGCCTGACTTAGGAAGGTGCATACCCATCACAATCATATGGGAAACACCCTGAGGGCTGCTTTCCCTTTGCTGGCTGCGCCATATTGTAATTGGGGGGAGGGGTAACCCCAAATCATTTCATTAAATATTGGTGGTGTCAGTTGTACCAAAGTGCGTGTGTACTGTGATGAAATAGGCGTCGTCTATAGGATTGAGTATCGCCTACCCAGCCACCATGGCCATCAGGAGTGGCCCCACAGGGAATTCTGTACATGGGAGGAGAAACTGTGCCGCCAAAACTGCAGCGTGCTGGTCACCTGCACATCTCACTTAACAGCTAGGGTTTCTCTGGGTTGGTTGGTTTGATTGGTTGGTTTTCAGTTCTAGATTCAGGGGAAGAATAACTAAACTTGGGCAATAGCCTTTGGAAAAGACTATTCTAGAACTCACTGTCTGCCTTTTATCCCCATCTGTAAAAGGAAAGCCTGTCACTGCTTCACACTCTGTGGGTGTGTGTCTGCTGTGTTAGGAGTGATTCAGAGGTAGCATAAATGCTGTGCATGCAGGTGTCGCCAGGTCTGTGGCTGCACCTTGTCTAGTGCCCTGTGAGCCCAAAGCCATAGAAGCCACGTGTGCACAGAGGGCAACCCGTGACGCTGGTAGAGGTCAGAGACTCTACTGCTGTGTGAGGAACCCTTGATGGATGAGGAGCAGCTAAAGGTAGATGGTCATATGGGGGGGGGCTGGCCTCGCAAATGGGATATGGCCGTGGTGGGATTTTGGAGGTCCCGGGAAGATCTTTCCATTCCTCACCCAGCCTACTCCCGGCTTCCCACACAGATTGGTTCCTCTAGCACTGAGCTGCTCATCTGTGAATTAAAGAGAGTCCCAGGAAGGTTGACATACTAAGCCATATTAGGGATTTATACATTTAGACACCTAGTTTACATGAAGATTCTCATTCCTTTTCCTGGGACTAAAGTTATGATGTAGAAGAGAGGAAGCCAACAGCCCTAACACAACAGAGAGGCAAAACACAGCTTCTACGGCATGAAGTCATTCTAACCACATCTCACCTTATGTCTGCAGATAGACAGCTCACAGGGAACAGGAATAGGTGCCCCCAGCTAGGAATTATTTCAACAGTCACATCAGACTGTATTTATGAATTTATAAATTTACCACCTGGTAGGGCAGGATTAGAACAAAGTCTTTCTACAGAAAATGGAAGACTACTAAGTAGGCAGCTAGGAAAGTCATATCGAATTAATGTTAATAATAATAAAAAGCTACTGTCATTAGTTTTACTGGGGCAGAGAACAGATAATCTTCCAATGATCTGATTTGTTCTGTAGTCTATGCCCCCCACCTCCGTAGGGGGCACCCTGTGGTCCTGAGGCATGCCAGCTGTGAATAGAGCCACTCGATCACTGGATGCTACTCAATAATAGGCTTTTAAATTTTTTTTTAAACCTACCAGTTATTTGGGACATCACTAAGCTTAGTCAGTCTGAGGACTTCTAATAGCGGTATAGATCGGGGAGTCTATTCTAGTTTGGGGGTTCCACTATTACGTCAAATTACAGGCTAGCTGAGCACATCCAGGTCCACCCCATTCCAAATACGCTGACTCCACCACACAGGGCCCCCATGTCTTCTGTGACTTAATGTATAGACCTGTCCATTCGACCATGACAATACCTTCCCCTAAACCTTCAAGTCACTGCTGTTTCACTGCCTTGGAAAGACTAGTGAGGTCCGGGGTTACCGTCGTAAAGGTTACCATCATAAAGTGAGGGACTCAACGTTGCCCATGAGCAATAGGCAAGGAGAGCAATACTGGGAACGAGGGGGCACAGTCAGGAAGCCGGCATATTTCCCTGCCAGTGTGTCCATTTGCATCCATCTCAGAACTCATCACAGTGAGTTTCTGGAGCTGTTGTCTGCTTTAAAACATAATTGCTAGTGTGATTATGAGGGTGAGGATGCCTGATGGGAACTGAAGGTGGAAAGCAGAATGGATTAGTAGAGTCCTCACAGCCTGAGAGTTTGGGTGTGTACAATCTGAGTTTTGGCAAAGGTAAGAGAAATGAAACTCAGTGCAAGGTTGAAGGGTCCAATTTAAAAAGCACAACACGAAGCCCATTATAAAACTCTTACTTTAAAGATTTGGTTTCCACACGTTAAACCTGAACTCTGTCATTACTTTAGCCTTGTGATGTAAGGGGTGGAGTAGATTCCAGTACTATAAAGAAGAAATATAATCCAAACTCTACTTAAATATGTTAGTTCAATTAAATCAATGTCTGCTGAGCACATGCTCTGCCCCTGGGCTGGTGCTGTGAAGAATAAAAGATTTTTAAATAGAGTATATTATATTCATGTGTAATATATGAATGTGAAAGTATAAATGATTTAAATGTTTGCATTTTGTATGTATAAGTAGGCGTGCATCAATGAGTATATTTATTCATGCAGGTTTCATTTTTTCTGGCTTTAGGTTATGTATGAAAATACTATCCATTATGCTATTCAGAAAAACATGGCAGAGATTCAGCCCTTCCCATCATGACCAAGGATAAATATTCCATTGCCTCAAGCTAACCATCTGAAAGTGCCCACCAGCTTGCATTTTCTGTCTTACCTGCCCACCTTTAAGTTCTCTTTGTTGTTCTGGTCCAGAAACCCCTCTGGCCTCACTTGCTTCCCTCTCTGTGTTCACCTCCATCCACAGTCTTCCATCGCCAGAAAGAGAAGGTCTTAAAACTCTGCTGAAGAGTACAGGTCAGGTCCATTTCATGTCTCGCAAATGTCACCCAGCTCGGACATCTTATTTTTCCAAGGTTGACTACACGTCACATTTTCCAAGTTTTTATTTTTCTTTATTCTCTCATTACAATCTTTCCTGCATTACTAAAAAAGTTACCTACTGTTTCAATGCTCACATAACCTCTTCTCTCTACCCTTAAATTTCTCCTGGCTTTCATTCATCTTTTCCATCCTCCCTCTCAACTCAGTGCTCCTCAACCTGTGCTCCAGCCCCCACCTCTGGCCTCTTCTAGGTTCACTGCAGCCACATTCCTTCCACACTTCTGCCTACAACCTCCTCTAAGACCAGTCTCCTCTCAGTCCGCTTGGACTCTTGAATTCCTGTCCTGTGTCCATTCATCTGTATCTTTTTACTTCCAAATGTCTGGAAAGGATGGTTTTTCTTCAGCCTCTCAACTAACACCTTGGCTTGATCTTCTAAGCTGGTCCACACCCTAACAGTTCCACTGAAACTACTCTAGGGCAACATTCTGATGCATTTCTAATGATAAAATCCAATCAACTTCACCTCCTGCTCGTTGGCTTCATGGCCATTAACCTACACTTACCATCAGAAAAATGCCCATTCCAGCTCAAATCCTAGTCTTCTGGGCCTCCATTGGGTCCCTCACTGGTTCCTGCTCTTCCTCCTGTCCCTAACACATTGACTTGCCATAGTGTCTGAACTTGACTCTCTTCTCACCCTTGTCTCCATGCTTCTGTAACATTCTGTAGCAGTGTTTGTCTTCTATAACTTCAGTGACATAAATGAGGATG